TATGTTCGGAGTTCTTAAAACCTACGTTTAGTTACACCAAAAATTCTAACCGAATTATTTAACTGCACTCGTAGCGCGGGATACGCTACTACTGCGCGAAGCTGTTAACACGAGCACGACATCGGCACTTTTATTACAGCGGAGCTATTAAGGGCTTTCCCCAGTATTTTGTCCATCAGCAAACAAATTATGACGCTAAACTCTGGACAACTACCGCCATCTATGAACGACGGCGGCAGCCAGACAACGGGGTTGTCGATTGTCTGGTTGCCGCCGTCGTTCATAGATGGCGGCAGCCTGCCCACTCTGGCTTGCCGACTTGCGGCCGGCCATTACTTCATTCCCACCAGGGATGGGCAAAATACATGCAAATATGTATCGAAATACAAATACAAAAGACTTCGTCAAAAATGTATTTAATTACAAATCTAATTACATTTCCAAAAAAGTATTGAAATACAAGATACAAATACAACCAAATGTATTTGGTCTCCTCCAAATACTTTTCCAAATACATTCCTCAAAATCTGCGTCAGCGACTTCAGGGCACCTGTAACGGGTTTCTGGGTATCTCATTTTAATTTTGCATTGCACACTCGGGAGTTAGTGTGCGAGGCTCTAGTAACGTAATAGAAATATAATCACAAAAAATGTAATCAGCTTGGACGTAGTAGGTGAAAAAAGTACAGAGCTTCAAGCAGCTTTTTTTGTCGATTACATTTTGGCGTAGACCAACAAAGAACCGAGACGACCAAGACGCGCAGCACTAGCTAGAGAATTTTTTATTGTTGCAACTCGCACCAGTTACAAGAATCTGGACGACCCGCGCATTTAGAATGTTCCAGGCAAAAATATGAAGGGAAATCAGGCTGGAAAACATCACAAGTTGTCACAGGCACTTATTTAGCCAGTCTGCCTGTGAACGTCAATTTCGTCACTATTCTTGCCCTGGACTAGCACCGTAATCGCAAAGTCACCAAACGCTTGTGCTTGATTGAGAGACACTGCATTCGGTGCAGGATATAGTTTTCTTCCTGCTCTGGACAGTGACAATAAATTTGAGGGATGTATTTTCGCCCACTAAATTGTATTTAATTACAATTGTATTTGAAATACCCACGTTTTATATTTAAATACACACGTCAAATACATTAGCCAATTTGTAATTAAATAGAAATGCAAAATACACAAAGTATTTGAAATACATATTTCAAATACTTGTATTTGAAATACTGCTCATCCCTGATTCCCGCCATAGTACAGCTTCGCTGGTCTTCCTTCTTCACCAGAGTGAAAAGGCTGAACGTTTTAATTTTATTCTGACGCGGCATTGACCGGCACCAGTCTTTACCGCTTAAAGGTGCCTTGAGGAGGTTTTTGAAATCACCTAAATATGGCGATAACTCACGCTGCTGACACTAAGCTATAGAAATCCCTAAATCATGACGTGTAGACCTTTTGCGAAATCCCCCAAGCGCCCCGGCCCGCGCGCGAGGAATTGTGGGAGAAACTGTCCTTCGCCTGGCCGCTCTGCCTTGAGATCGCATTGCCTTGTCGCTTGTCTATTCTTAATCCCCTGTTTTTCGATTCCATTACCTATTTCCCTTTATACCAGTGTATATTTTATTGCTTCTAAGTGTTTCGATTCTCTTCTGCGCGTGATATTTCTTGTATATATATATAGTATTTGTGTTTTTATTTCGCCTTTTTCGATGGAAGTGCCGACGGACAACACGCCGCTTCGCGCGTCGTTCTCTGGGTGAGTACTAGCGTTCCTACCGATTCCTATTGCGCTGTTAGCTGTTCATTTGGGTTTATCTGACTCGCGTGCAGTCGAGAGGAGCCGTTTATGAACACCCGCGCACATGTCATATGGGTAGGCAGAGCTCTGAATCAACAATCGGGACGCAAGAGCCGTGTGCGCTGTGATTTGGCCGCGCTTTGACTCGCACTGTAGCGGGTGCCTTCCAGTGCCGCCTACTTGACCAAGATACAGCATGCCGCTTTGTCGCCGCGAACCATTTGTCCGAATGGTTGCGAAGCTGAGGCATATGCAACGCTGCGGCGCCTGACAACCACGCGCTGCGACGTGATCCCTTCGCAAACGCCGACGGCTCAATGTCGCGGCTTGAATGCGCCTATGCCCCCTATGGCATGCCTTTGTAATCTATCTGCTAAGCGGTTGTCAGTTGCCAACGTCCTTTTTCATGTGCAGAGATGTGTTGCCGCAAATCATTTGTCCGAATGCCTGCGAAGCCGTAACGCCGTTCGTCATATCCAACGTGCGGTGCCTGACAAACTGCGCGGAGCGGCCCGACCCCTTCGCAAGCGCCGGTGGCCGAATGTCGCGGCTTGTATGCGCTTAGGTATGCCTTCTTAATCTATCTGCTAAGTGGTTGTCAGTTGCAAGCACCCATTTTCAAGTGCAGATATCTCCTGTCACCCAGGCAGTCACCTCGAAACTCGTAGTTCCTTCCATAATTTTAGTTCTCGAGTCAAGATGTCAGCTGATGCTCAAGTCAAGATGTCAGCAACTGACAACCCCCGAGGAGACTGATCATGAAGGCATGCCAAAGGCGCATACAAGCCGCGACGTTGAACCGCCGGCGCTGGCTAAGGGCTCGCGCCGCTGCGTGCAGTAGTCAGGCGCCGCAGCGTTGGATATGCCGAACGGTGTTACGGTTTCGCAGGCATTCGGACAAGAGATTCACGACGGCAAAGAGGCGTGCTGTATCTTGGTCAAGTTAAGTGGCACTCGAAGGCATAGTGCGAGTCAACGGAGCGAGCGCGGGCGGCCAAATCACAGCGCACTCGGCTCTTGCGTCGCGATTCTTGATTCAGAGCTCTGCCTACCCCTATGACATGCGCGCGGGTGTTCATAAACGGCTCCTCTCGACTGCACGCGGGCCAAATAAACCAAAATGAACAGCTAACAGCGTGATATAAATCGGTAGCAAAGTAGTACTTACCCGGGGCACGACGCGCGAAGCGGCGTGTTGTCCGTCAGCACTCCCACCGAAAAAGGCGAAATAAAGACACAAATACTATATATATACAAGAAATATCGCGCGCAGAAGAGAATAGGAACACTTAGAAGCAATAAAAAATACACTGCAATAGATAAAATAGGTAATGGAATCGAAAAACAGAGGATTAAGAGGAGGCAAGCGAAAAGGCAATGCGATCTCAAGACAGAGCGGCCAGGCGGAGGGACAGTCTCTCCCACAATTCCTCGCGCGCGGACCGGGGCGCTTGGGAAAATTGCAAATCGTGGAAGTTTTCGTAGATGGTTTTCGCCGTCCCGCAGCGCTCTCCGCAAGCCTCTACGATACCCGGAACTCTACGGTCACAAGGCCATCGGCGCACAGGCGCAGTAGCGGCTTCTTCGTTGCGGAGGGCTTAGCGGAGGGGGCAAAGGATCCTCGCGCCTTTGACCTGTGGAACCGCGGAGTGATATCTCGAGTACGCGCGCCTCGTTGTCCATGCAGTTCGGACTACGATTCAACCCGGCGAGCGCGCGCTCGAGAGCTGACGACCGGACTTCCGCAAGAAAAAAAAAAAAAGCCAAAGCATAGTGCGGTGTTTTTGAGACAATTGGTTGCAGTATTATGTTCCGTGTCCGCGAAAAATTAACATTGTTCGATTACTCTTATTTGCTTTTATCGTTTACAAAAGCATAAACATTTTGTAATGACAGCGTTTGCAATCTCAACGAAATGTCGCGTTTTCATCGGTCACATGTCGTCCTGGCTGCCGGAACAATGCTCCTTTTATCGCCTGAGATTACATTGTCGTGTTCGATCTTTGGTGATTTTTTTTTTCTTTCTAATCCGCGCATCGTTATGATTTATGGATTGCTAGGAAGCTTAGAGCCCGCAGAGTAAGTATCGCCATATGTAGGCGATCTCAGAAAACTCCTCATGGCACCTTTAAGGTTGCTTTCCCAAATGTTGCATTTCCGCCGATACTAAACTCCGTGTCCCTAGTTGCGTGCTGTACATGCAGGCGAAGGCAACGCGAGGCGAGAAGAGAAAGGGCAATCACTAGGAAGGCTTTGGAGGAGGAGAGAAACGTCCTCTCCTCCTCCCCAGTCTTCCTCTCCCGTCTTCCCCTCGCCCTCCATTGCTCTCCTCTCCCATCCTGCCTTCCCAGTGTTCGTCTTTTTTCTCTTCGCTTGGTGTTGTCTTCCCCTGCACTGTACGCGACTATAGTGACACGGAGTATAGTAGACTTGAAATCATTTTCAATGCACCAGTACAACTCCCAACACGTTATTTTGAGTTTTAGAGAATTTGTTATCTAAGTGACTGGAACTCTGATATTATTATCTTTTAACTGTATAGTCGTCTTTTTTTTGTATGTTAAGGTCTAGTTTCCCCAGGATCGTGTCCCCCGCAAAGAAATGAAGACACCAAACTCTGGACACCTACCGCCATCCATGAGCGACGGCGGCAAGCCATGTATCTGGTTACCGCCGTCGCTCATAGATGGCGGCAGCTTTTCTACTCTGACTTGCCGACTTGCGGCTGGCCATTACTTTCCACTGTACAGCTCCGCTCGTCTTTCTTCTTCACCAGAGTGGAAAGGCTGAAAGTTTTTTTGTTATAGCCACACCCGGTCATTTTAATCATAACTCCGCAGTCAATACGATTGCTGCATTAGCTATTAGGAATGCGGAAGAGCAAATCACGAACCAATACCATAATATACCACAGCCTGCGTTTCTTTAGCTGTCAGTGGCTAATGTATGTATGTATGTATGTATGCATGCATGTACGTACGTACGTATGTGTGCAATAATGAATGTATGTAATGTATGAAAGTATGTCTGTATAAATGTAATGTATCTATGAACGTAATGTACGAATGTAACGGTAATGTTTCGAAAGCTAACGGTACCCTATGAGCGATAACAGTGCCACTCGGTAAATATGTTTCCCTCGTGCTTTTAGGCAGACGCGCTGGCGCAGTCTTGTCAACGGCTGTGTCGTCTCGCGCAGGTCCCCGGAAGTCGGAGGGCCCCCGAGTGACGTCGTGGGTGAAGGAAGTGACGGTGGACGACGGCCAGTCGGCGTCGCTCTCATGCGCGGCACGGGGCCAGCCCCTGCCCTCGTACTACTGGTTCCGGCAGGTCGGAGTCGACATGCGCCCGGTGTCCGGGGCATCGCACCTCAGCGGCAGGGGCACCCTGTCGCTGAGGTCCGTTCGAGTCCAGGACTCCGGCCGCTACGTGTGCCTGGTGAACAACACCTTCGGCGAGGACCGGGTCTATGTCGCTCTCACCGTAAGAGGTACGGCCCCGGCAAAAGCGCACTCATCAAAGTTAATTCGAAGATCGTTAAAGGGTCACTGACAACCCCAATATAAATATTTATTTACCGTCTTAAACGCTTCCAAAGCGCATTGCGAAACACAAAAAAAAAAAAAAAAAATCATCGCGAAAAAGAAAAGAACTTGCGCGCGAAAGAGTTCCTTAAAGTTTGCGTCCACCACTCCCGAGTTGAGCTCCTCCTCGTTTCTCTTTTTGGTGACTTCATTGTTGCATGTGCGTAATAATTATTATTGTCATTCATAAAATATGTTATTTACGACGACTGTAAAGGCAGCAACAATGTTCGCTTCGAAAAATAAAAATAATCGACCGGAAGGGTTATTGACAAAACATCGGCCGTTTCTAGCTTTTTCTTTGTACTCTCAATATGGCGGCATCCGGCGGCTATGCTGAGAGTGATGAGACGGGTGCGCTCGACGGGGAAGTCGAAAACGGCTCGGACGAGAGCGTTTTTGGTTTTTTTCGGTGCCGGTTAACTTTTTGGAGGACCCCTCACGCAGCACCTTTCCGACATCGCCCTTGGACTTCGCTCACCAAGATCTGCTACACGTCGATCGTTTTTTTCTTTACCTTTCTAAAACTCGTTTTAAACTAACTAACGCTGATTAAAAAAGAAAGAGAGAGGGAATCTGAAAAGTGACGCGTCGTCTGCACGCGAAGTAAGGTCTCTCGAAATACTTTGACGGTAGGTCAAGTGGCACGTGCGCATGAGCGTGAGCCCATGAACGATGAGAGAGAAAGAAAGTTAAACGACACTTCATGTTTGAAGTCTTCTAAAAAGGCAAGGAGTGCACCATTTCGCCAACACACGCCATAGATTCGGCCAAAAGAAAAAAATCAAATCAAGCTTCCTAAAAAAAAAAAAAAAAAGTTCTGCAACTACGCAGGTTTTAAGCTTGGTATTTCAGGGGCGATCCCTAAAAATAATTTTCAGCCATTTGCAAAAAAAAAAAAAATATTGACATCTAAGGGTTGTAAGTGGCCCTTTAAGTCCTGGCTTAACAACTGGTTATTTAGGTATAAGAAATGATTCATGGTTACAGACAAACTTGTACGTAAGGCGTTACAAGTAAAGCGTTACCCGTACCTAGTTACTCCTTTGGGTAACAAACTAACCATCTGGGTACCTCTTGAGAGAAGAAAAGTGCAATGTATATTCATTACTTTTTTTTATCAAGCAGCTTACGGTATCTATGTCTTTTTGGAGGCGAACGTGTAAGACACAAGTACTCAACCTAGTCGCCGCACCTTGCGCCTGTAATTTGCACGCCATAAAAAAAGTGTGCACAAAGTAGGCCAGCATGGTCAAGGTTATCCCTGAATGAATGTGCTGAAAAGAAAGGAAATATGAACAAGGACAAGTATTGGAAGCCACTACTGCTTCATAAAAAAACGATACGTTAAGAGTAAGAAGAAAACAGCGCGTTCCTTTTAAATCGCAGTAACTATAGTACCGTCCTTGGTTACTTTTTGAGTGAGTACAACGATTAACGATATTTAGTCACTTTCTCTCGGTAGCGCATAGTGTCTGGTTGATAACATTCTGGCCGGCTTCGAGTGCTAGCCCCTCGTCACCACTTATTTGAGCGCGATGCGCCCTTCCAGGAGTTCCTCTGGTTAGCGTGCACCCCACTTACCAGCGTGTGCCACTGGGTGCCTCGGTGACCCTGACCTGCAACGCGTCCGGGGTCCTCGCCCGGGAGCTCAAGTGGTACAAGGACTTGGCTCCGGTGCAGCCATCCACCGCCGACAGGGTTCGCTTCCTGAGTGCTTCTGTTCTTCAGCTGGGATCGGTGAAGGCTGACCAAGATGGCGTCTACCAGTGCATGGCATCGGGTCCCAAGGAATCGGCGCAGGCCGCTGCTTTTGTAGTGCTCATGGGTGAGCAAATAGTTTCTGCTGTTGTCTAAACGCTTGTTAGCACAGGCACAGGAAGGGATTTCGTTGAGGATAGACAAACGGTCAAACACTGGATGTAGTATGCGTTATGCGTTACTTTAAAACTCACACACATTTCTGCCGTCTGATTCGGATTTCGTCTTTGGGTTTTTGTAGTGAGAAAAGGGTTTATTAATTTATACGTTTTTTTAACATATTCTAAACTCATCACCTGTGGCAATATTTTTTTTTAATTTAGATTAATTCTGTTATTCTTTTTGCTGGAAATAAAGATAAATGAATCCTCTAAATACCCCAGAAAACAATAAAAGGACCGCAGTTTATTATTTAACAAGTCAATTATCTCAGCTATTAAAGACATCAAAACACACAAGTATCCGCTCTGTTACCTCTAAGACGTATGAAAGACCTTGGCTTTAAAGGGACACTGAACTCTCCAAAATTAGTCGAAGTGCCTGGATCGGACACGTATGTCACAAGATAAAGTTTCTGCGAACAGCTTCTTTAAATGAATAATTACGCTGCGAGACACGTCTTGAGCTACACCGAAACATCAAATCCGCAGTAGAGGTAGTTTCGGTTCCGTGCCAGAATTAAAACGTGCCTTCTGGCGTAAATATTGCGCTAAACACCGTCTTTGCTTTAAAGATAAAGAGGTGAACTGCGCTCATTACAACCTAGCTTCCTCGTATAAGCAGGGATAATTTGTGTCAATCGGTAAAGCCAGGACACTAGACAGACACGGATCTCTGACCCACACTATAACCGCCTTTTTGGGGAACGGGAGGCGCCACCGATGGTGAGTTGGATACGCGATGAGCAGTGACTGTGTTGCTGTGCAGTGACGAAACCGGAGCTCACGGTGACCTTCAGCGACCAGGACACATACCCGGGCAGCTTCGTGTCTCTGAAATGCGCCGCCAGAGGACACCCCATGCCGAGAGTGACGTGGCGTCTGGACGGCGGTGCCGTGCCTTCTTCGCGAAAAATCCTCCGGGGCGATTTTGTCACCGAGGACCACGTGGTCCACAGCTTCGTCAACCTGACGGCTGCCAACGTGACCCATGGTGGAGAGTACTCGTGTCATGCGGAGAACGACGCGGGAAGCGTCACACATTCCGCTTGGCTCAACGTCGTGGGTCCCCCCGTAGCCCCGCCGCCTCAGAACCTCACCATCCTCTCGGGCGAGACGCTCAGCCTACCCTGTCCCGTCAAGGGATATCCATTCGCGTCCTTCCTCTGGTACAAGGGAGCATTTGGTGAGTGCTGTCAACGTACGCGAGATATCATATAATTTAGTGCCCGGAATTAACGCTGGATTTAAAACAGGACATACTTCCATGTTATGTTCAATTATCCAAAAAAAATTAAGGCTTCAATCCACGATGTGAAAGTGATTAGGCAGCGAATGGTATCACCTGCAACGATTGCCCACTGCACTACAGACCCTTTTTTTGGAAAGTTACACCAGGTTGTGCTCCAGTCCTCGACGTCCCAGAGAACTTCCGGTTTATAAAAAGAATGATTGACGAGTTGCCATAGCAACGAGGCAACCTTAACACCACTGCTTGAAATGTAGATAAAACGTTTAACCACCAATTCTCCAGGTGAATTCCAAAAGAACGAAGGACTGCGAGATCTGTTAAAATGTTTCGAGTATTCTTGTAAACCAACTTTCCTCCTCCAACATGTAATATTGTACAACCCAAGGCCCTCGTTAAATCTCTAACTTTGTTATCCTATAACATTTATGCTTTCTAGCACTGGTGACATAAGCAAGCCCCACAGGCTCGCAAAGACGGTGCAACCGGAAGTCGCTTGGAACGCAAGCGACAGTTCATGTTTCTAAACAGCAAAAGCGTCTATGCAAAATGATTGACGAAAGAAAAGTAAACCCACTGTACCAAAAATATATATTTATATATGACAGACTTCATTGTAAACGCTGCCGTTGCCGCGGCAGCTTATGCAACCGATATTTTATCGCGAAACGCATGCGGGGAACGCTACGTGCTCATCATCTATCACCTGGTTTGAAGTCATATTTGGGGGTTTTACATGCTAAACCAACGACGGGCATCTGGCACGCCCCAGCGGAGGACTCAGGATTAATTTCGACCACCTGGGGATCTTTTGACGTGCAACCGAAAGCTCGGTTACATGGCGCCTTCTCCGCAATAAGCTTCCGTCAGGTTGCGGGTACCTCGGCCGGGATTCGAACCCGCCACCCGGGAATCCGTAGGCCGGCACTTTGCCACGGAGGCACCGAAAAGGCTTATCACTTGATATTGACACTTGTTTTATGGTTTTCTTATTGAAACAAGTGTCAAAACCACATGATAAGAGATAAGGCCCGAGCGAACGGTGGTAAGGCGAGCGCGTGGGTTTTTTGTCGACTACTGTTTTGTCGGCGGAGACGAAAAAACTCGACCAACGAGTCATATACAGTTTCGGTGTAAAATGTTTCTCGACTTACCGTTCCGTCCATCTTGTCCCCGTCATGTCCCACAGTCATATCAGCTTTCTCCCGACCCGAGCCAACCTGACCCGAACCACGTTCCCGTGCCGCACCGGGCCTATCTTTTCCCGATTCATTCCAGTCAAATCTGGCGCGACCCCATCCGACCCAATTCAACCCACCCTAATCGGAAACACCCTGATACGGCCCATACCACTGCAACCATTCCCGACCCGACCCAACCCGGCCCGACACGATCCGCCCCGCCCCGATCCGATCCGATCCGACCCGACCCGGCCCTACCCAACCTGATCATATCTTTCGCAACTTTGAATTAAACTGCCATCTCAAGTGCTTTTCTAGAGATTGTTTTCCTGTCTTTGCAGCGAACCGGACCCTAGTCGATGGTCAGCGGTATCGCATGGACAGCCATGGCAAGCTGACCATTCACGACATCGACAGGAAGACGGATGATGGTCCCGTAATCTGTTCAGCCACAAGCCCCGAAGGACGCTCAGCCGAAGCCCTCGTCCACTTGCACGTAGCAGGTGAATGCAAGATTCATTTTACATCTTTTGACTAGCAGTACAGAGTAAATTGTAGTTGTACCCTTCGGGGCCCGGGTGCTGCATTTTCTTACCGAGCGCCGATTCATCAGGGCCACAACAGAAACGTTTGACACCCCGTATGACGGGAGGGAAAGATTATTGATTGCATTCAGCTTTCTTGCTTACACCACTGCAAGTCTTCTGACAAACGGCTTTGACTGCACAACTGTTTGACTCTGAAGACAGTGGCAGGCCTTCTTACCGCACATCATGGCTGCTGACATCAGCGTATTCGGCAGAATTTACGCGATACGCGTTCTTGTAATTTGGACCGTAAACACAGTACTATACTACCGGTTGGCTTAAAGGGGTCATGAAACGATTTTCCTACTTCTTTCTCCTTAGCTTTAATCCTCAACTCAAATGCGAATTGTGAAATCACGTTGTCGTAACACTCCTTCGGCACCGGTGCAATGACTCTTAGCTTCCAACGTGCTTTTTATGCACACCATAGAACTTGTCATTCCCCAGTGACAATAAGTTCCGTAATCGAACATTTGGATTCGCGTTCGTGGCCAATGAGTGCACTCATTGGCCACGAACGCGAATCCAAATATTCGTCGACGGATTGATTGTTGACGAGCGCATACGTCCGAGTGACGCAGTTCTCGTGTCCAATGCGTGAGCTGGGCTCTGCTGACGTCAGTTTGGCGCCAGTGACGCGCTTCTGGAACCGCGGATGTGTCATAGTGAAAAGGCGGAGAGCTTTCGAAGGCAAGAAGGTATAAAATAGTCCGCTATATATTCAAATGCTCGTACCGAAAACCTGGCTTTTGACTTTTTAGCCCCTTTCTTCTGGCCAACTAAATGATATGCGATTAGTAAAGTCCCAATTTAAAATCATTCATCCCAACCCAAAATTCGTTTCATGGCCCCTTTAATTCTATCCAATTGGAACGTACCTCGGGATAAACGTTTCTGTCGCCAAGTTGTCAAGCACCGAAGAAATTTTGCTTACAATAGGGGGCTTTTAGATCGTTTTAGCCATCCCGCAATGATCTCTGCACTTTTCACCGCTACGGCGCACATGTGCAGTCTGGGGTTCGAACGCCAAACGCCAGACCAATCGCAAGAAGTAGATGATGTTTCTGTTCGCTCTGGCGTGAGGTATCCAGTGGGTAGGGACCGGTGGCCTTTGAGTCTACCCACTATTCGTCCAACCATAACTCGGCTGTCTGACGTCACTGCACGCTCTCATCTCCTCCTCTCCTTCAGTTTCTGTATAGCGATGAACGACTATGCTCAAATTCAACTCAAGAATCATAGCAAACATTGAGGTTCAGCGCTACTAATGTCATACTCCATGTAGCAAATTAAAATGCATAGATTATCTGCATATTATTTTATTAAGACGAACGCATTCCAAAGGTCAAACGCATCGACAACCAAAATTTTGTAAGAACTGCCCCGCGCAGCGTATGAACCACGAGCAAAACTTACTTCTTTTTTTTTTTCTTGATGCAAGTATAGCTAATCCAAATAGCCATTTTAATGTTGTCCCCAATGCTTCCTTGCAAACTTCTTCACTGTCAACATTTCTTTGACAACCTGAGACTGGGCGAAAAACGACAAGAATTCAAAGTGGAAGAGAAAGGAGAAGAAGGAAAGAAGGCAACGTCTCAAACTTAGTTGACTTGTTTATTCAGTGGCAGCTTCATATCTACAAGATTCTCAAGGTCACAAATCAACCACCAATCACATAAAGAAACACCCCCATGTTCAAAACACAAATACATACAAAAGACTTGTATACATCCTAAAATTAGTCGTTCCCCCCCCCCCTTTCCCCCCCCCCCCAAAAAAAAATAAAAAAAATAAAACATTTTCTAATCTTTTACAACGTTTTTTTGTAACCTGACATTTTCAGTGCCCCCGACCATCAACCCGTTTTCCTTCCCGCCTTCGATCCGGGAAGGAGAGAGATCGAGCGTGCACTGCTTCGTCTCGTCCGGGGATCGGCCGGTGTCCATCTGGTGGCTCAAGGACGGACACCCGCTGCGGCCCGGGCTCCTGGACGCCAAGCCGCAGCTCATGAACGAGTTCCTGTCGGTCCTCTACTTTGAGAGCATCACCGAAGACCACAACGGCACCTACACCTGCGTTGCCAGTAACCCCTACGCCAGCACCAACTCGTCGGCGGAGATGATCGTTCAAGGTAACTTGAGGGCCTGTGAACCGACCAGAAGTCGAAGCTAATTATAATGAAGTTGATGGAAATCGGAACTTTGTTCCTTATATCCTGAATTAGTCACATCGCGATTTTCCTTGGGCATACGGCTCGTCAATGTCACGATGCGGCGTATAGCATATGCTGGTTAAATCGCTGCTACCCAAAGGTCGATCCCAACCAAATCAGATTACGGTTTGAAGGTTGCGGATGCCGGAAACTGCGAAGTCTTTGTGGCTTCCGCTAACAGTTACGGAAAGAAAGCGTATACGGTTTAGATTGGAGAACATAATAGCGCTTCACGACAGGGACGAAGAGTAGAAACGAGACAACACAATGCGCTGCTTGTGTTGTCTCGCTTCTACTCTTCGTCCCTGTCGTGAAGCGCTACTATGTTCTCCAAGTTTCAGTACCAGCTCGCCCAAGAATCCGCATTATATTGGACGGTGCGCCGACAGCGATTGATTTGGAGTTATATCAACCGCGATAGTTTGAACATTTCTTATTTTCTATCGTTATTTGTTACGTGTGCTTTAACTCTCACAAGCATCTACATATTCTGTACACATTTGTTCCAGAGTTACGGTGAAATTTTAATGATCCGTCGTTCTTTTATTTCTTTCGCAGTTGCACCGAAATGGATCTACACGCCTTCCGATGCTACAGCCCTCAAGGGCAACACAATGAGATTTGATTGCCAAGCGGAAGGCTTTCCTACGCCTGTCATACGCTGGAAAATGGCTACAGGTATCGATCTGAACTCTCCCGTTCAAGCAAACACAATCTAAACAAAGGGAAGCCTGGTTATTTTCCCATCTTTGTTCGTAAAGCATCACCCCGCTACGGCGGCGCCAACTCGGCGATTGGGAGATATATCTCGAAGCCCAGCGCGCCTGTCACCGCATTGAGTAAACATGGGTACCAGCCGAAAACTCACACAGTACTCGGGTCCGGTCCGTGGCCGTGCTCGGTGGTAGCGTGATGACGTCAAATCCCAGTGCGCAAGTCCTCCTCGTCTAAGCGGTGCTGGCTGAATGGGGAATGGCACTACCTCGAATAAGGTAGAGAAATGACAACTAAATTATGTCGCAAGCCTATAAAATATCATATAACAGTATCGTCATTGTCGAAGTTGAACTTGTCTATCATGAGGGTCTGTGGTAATGATGCCTGCGCTGCGAAGGCCACCGGAAAATCGCTATAATATATTTATTTCCCATTCTCGTTCACTAAACCCCACTTGGGAGTTTCTGATCAGAGAACTACTGGCATTCCTAACGCTGGTACTGCCTGCTAAAAAAATAAAAAGCGTAATAAGCGAAACGCTAGAGAAAAGGGACGTTACGCACCAATTGATTCCAGTGCCATAGCAGGCCAACGTGACCAAATTTGTTTCCGGTAGGCGGGTGTCCTACTGTAGACGGATAATGTTTTGTAAAGTGTTTTTTTTTTTTTTTATGAATTCCGTAAATAAAAAACCGCCTTTCTCTTTTTTTTTTTTTTTGTGCCAATTATTCTAACGCTTCACATTTTCTCAATTTCCAACCAGGAGAAGTCTCTGACGGATTCGTAACGATCCGGAGCAACGCCAAGCTCCAAGTTCTGGAGAACGGATCGCTTGTCGTGCAACACGTCGACGCCTCGGACGCCGGCGTCTACCTCTGCCAGGCCACCAACGGCGTCGGACCGGAACTGACGCACGAGGCCAAGCTCACCGTTTCCGGTGAGTGCGCGCTTTCACCCCACCCCGCCTGTTGGCGTGATGGGTTGCTTAGCTGAAACATGCACATACAGAAAGAAAGTAGGAAAATCAGAGAGGGCACTCGGAAAATGGAGTATTTCGAAAATATCGTTTGACGGACCGGCGTTCAGGTACCTATAATACAAGTATCAGATCACCTCATTCTAATTTGTTATGGATCATTATTGCATATTTTAACTCGTTTCCATGCTCGCGTTACTTTTTTTTCCTGTCACTTGTTCCGCAATAAGAACAATCTGTAACCTTTCCTTTTCCGTCTACACGAGGGAAAGATGAGCAAAACAACCGGAAAGTAAATATTTTTATTATATGTTGAAACCCACAGTGTAGTTAAGCAAACATGAACGTAACTTTAAGAACCGAGCAATCACAGTTCTAAGATAAATATAATCAATATCCAACTTTCCATTAATTCATAAACTATTCATAAAATGGGAGCTACCTAAAACTTAAAAAAAAAAAAAACGTTTTATCCAGCCCTTTTATTTTCACTTTCCTTTCTCATTTAATTATTAGAACTGCGAAACGAAACATATTTTCTTGAAGATTAACTAAGCCGAAAGCAACTTGTATTTGTTACAGTTCCTGCCACGTTCATCACAAGCTCGATGTCAGTTACGTCGCGCCGAGGAGACAAGGTCCACCTGCGGTGCGACACCATCGGTGACGCTCCCCTCACTATCGCGTGGTATCGAGACAAGATCCTCCTAGACGTGGACCGGCATCCTAGGTAATTGGTGTCATGGTTTATATACTACCTGCGCCTGCGCCAAGTATACATGCGTTGTAGCCTGCAGGCGGTGTTAAATAGTTTATGTGCAGCGACTTTCTTTTTTCGGAAACAATGCTACAGACGTGACCTAATCACTGTTACATCACCCCTGTTTCTCATTGCAAATAATCATGTTAACTTTAAGAAAAGGTGTCTCATTTGTGTCACTCATGCCAGGATAGGGAACACTTAACTGTGCAAAACAAAACTTTTGATTAGCAGAAATAACCGCAGACAAAAAGGGGTGTTCTCGTGCAGTTTATGTTTATAAAAACAAAGATGCCTATTTTAGGCATATTTAAAATGAAAATGAACCTAATTTTTAACAGAAATGAACCAATAAAAAAAAATAAGTGCGCTCTTCGCATAACACAGACTGGTAAATAGCACAAACTTTTTGTTTTGTTAGGAAAGCCATTGTCATATGCCACCCGTGCCGTCCTTCAAAATGTAGGCTCTCGCGGGATTCTTTACCCAACTGCTCTATTAGCGTACCAAACGAGTTCGCGTAAAGTCGGCCATCAAGATACCATATTCTATAGTACTGTTTTTGTGTGCCACCCGTGCCGTCCTTCAGAATGTAGGCTCTCTTGGAATTATTTACCCAACTGCTTTATTAGCGTACCAAACGAGTTCGCGTAAAGTCGGTCATCAAGAGGCCATATTCAATGGTACTGTTGCGGCGCTGATGCCTTTCCGATCCTGCCTTTACAAAGCACAGATATTCGGTAGTGGAGCACGAGCGAGAGGACGGCATGGCGTCGCAGCTGCTCATCCGGGACGTCAAAACCAACGACACTGGCGCCTACGCTTGCAAGGTGGCCAACAGCCACGGCAAGGACGAGATGTTCATCAAGCTCACCGTGCAAGGTGAGTCGGCACTGAACCATTCACACCTGAGGAATAATGTCAATTCCAAACTCGCGTTTAATCTCGGTTTTCTGCTTCGCACTTTGGCCGCCAGAAATGAACCAGCTTTTGTTGTATCCTTGGATATACGTAAGCGCCCAGTTTCTCTCCTTCAGCACTTCTCCTTTTTAATGCGAAAGCATTAACTGTCCCATGGAGCGAGCTGACGTCATCACTTTGAAGCGCGAAAACGGCCCCTAGTTTCCCCGATCCCAAAGGAGCAAAATAAAGCTGATTGATTTCGCCTTCGGTTCCATTGGCTGGCGCGCATCGATGGGGCTCCCAATGGCCGCTGCGCTCGTCAGTTTCCACAACCGCTCACCCCATGGCGCTGCGTGTCCATCAGCGCTTAACATGGAGCGCCCAAGGTCAGCGTGCCCAGGGGAGCACGCGCGCTGACCGGCAACAAAAAATTCTCAGCAGACGAAAAAGGAAGCGGACGAGCGCCTTGCATGCTTTCGCATTCACAACTCATAAGAAATGCTCAAATGTACCTCGAGCTTTTTTTATATTTTTTTTTATTTTGTTGTTGTTGTTGGAGTAGCGAACGGTGTTCTTTCTATGATACCGAAGATATAGAAACTATGACTGGGGACTTCGTTAACATGAATAAGAAAAGATCCTACATTTTCGCGTTATAGAAGCTGGAAAAACGTGTTAGCGTCTCCCGTTTAGCCAGCAAGTCGTGGTATCGCCATTTTGTGGTTTCACGAAGTAGGACATATATCAGGGGTGGCCAGGCTGATCCAGCCTATGTGCCGCACACAAAACCAAGAAACTTGTAAGAGACGCAGGGGAGGGGGCTATGAATGACGTCAACTCGGGATTCCGCGACCTTCAACAAGAAACGATAGGGAACATCCGTTACCTAAAAAGGACAAGTATCACCGGCGAGTGACAAAGGCCGCGAGACAACATTTCCTCGACCCCAAGCCAAAATGCATGCACGTTCTGACAGTCCCTGTCCTTGATGCGTTTCCCCCTAGGGTCCGGCAAACTCACTCAAACAATGAAAGAACATGTAAGAACATAGAACAATGAAAGAACAAAGAACAATGAACAATGAAAGAACAAAGAACAATGAACAATGAAAGAACATGGAAACATATGAGCGAAAAGCGGTTCGACTGTACGTATGGGGGCACAAGGCGGCCAAACCGCAAGCTGTTCATTATTCTGAAATCCCTGGGAAACGCGGAAAGGGCGGAAGGGAAGAAGGGGAGAAGGGGGGGGGGAGGGAGGTCCCGTTACGAGGGATCCGCGAGCCGCACTTGGACCAGCGAAGAGCCGCATGCGGCTCGCGAGCCGCTGTTCGGCCACCCCTGACATATATAGACGAACACAAGCCAAGCCTATCCGCCAGACTGTCTCACTGCACGTTAGTCTGAGTCAGAGACGCGAACTTTGGCACACGATTAGCCTGGCTTCCCCAAGTAAACACCGGCACTTCAAGGAACACAAATAGGCGGGCATATCTACGTGATGTCGGTCCAGGCTAACCACGTTATTTGTTTCATCCGCAGAGCCTCCTTCGCCGCCCAGTAACGTCCACGTGACCCACCTAGCAAGTCGCACCGTGTCTTTGCGATGGACACCCCCCTTTGACGGGAACTCCCCTATAAGCCAGTATGACCTCAAGGTTCACTCGTCGAGAGGCGAGCATCATTTTATCTTATCTCCTTTTAGGAAGTTTTTATAGATCGTTCCGGTAACTTAGATAACGTTACCCGCTGCCCCGCTGACACCTTTGTGCATGCATTGTATCGTTATCGTTATTGAAAGTAACGGAACGATCTACTAAAGCCGTTAGAGAGTTTTAGGAAACCGTTTTCGCACATCCCATATGGCACGATAGGCCCTCCGGTACCAACTTTGCATGCGCTACCGCACAGCACTCGCATATGCAGAGTTCGTACCGGAGGGCCCATTATACCGTTACCGTACGGATGTGCAAACACGGTTCTCTAAAACTCTCTAATAACGTAACGTTGTGACGGTAACGTAAAAATGGAACTTTTCAACAGACCGTTTATTTCTGTCGGTGACTGTAGAGACCTAGGGGAAAAAAATAAAAAAGCTATTGGAAATTATGACGCGCCCGTGGTCTTTTTATAATAATCGCATGACACTTGAATCGAGAGACAAATATAATAACACAAGTCAGAATCAAACGTCACTCGAGCGGGGACTCCAAAAAACTATTAGAACAAAATTATAACGAAAGTTTAAAAAACTTGTTTCAAAATAAAGTATGGAGCTCCAGCTTATCTACGTGTAAAGACTTAAGCGTGTATTTCTATTTTTCGTTTAGATGGAACGTCCCTCGTGATCCCTGTACCCGGGACTCAACTGGAAATGACTCTAGACAGTTTAAGTCCGAACTCGGCGTACAGGGTTGAGGTGGAGGCGGTCAACAGCATTGGCACCGGTGCACCCAGCGAACCGCTTTTCTTCACAACCGACACAGAAGGTACGTCTTTTTAACGAGACAGACATGTCACATAAAACGTCATTTAAGTTTTTGGAGTGGTTCGTCTCTTTTATAATATTTTGTGCCTCAGCCTCCTATTTTTAATGGAGATTTAAAATCAACGTAGGCTACATGCATGTATGCTTGTTTTGTTTGTTTTGTTTTTCTCACCGAGATATGCCTTAGGTTTGCTTCCCTCTGTTTCAATTGAGACAGTGCATAATTAACAAAAAATATAGGTCGTCAAAACTCGTATCCAATATTTTTAATTACTTATCTACCGTATTTCCGCGACGCCCACTCAGATTTTGTCCCATGCTTTTCACTATTATCTTGTTTTCATTCTTGTTTGAATTTAATAATAAAAACGTTACAATCGATTACGTTTTGCATTTTTGTCGTTCAAACCTAGTCTTATCATAAAATATGTATTTCAAACCCCAGAATGATTATGACCACTCAGGAACTTTGCTCGAGTGAGGTAGCACTATGTGGGTCGCTTATGTTCCACGAAAAAAAAAAAAAAAAAAGCCGGCACAGCAATAGGAATTTTTATTGCAATGTGTGCATATTACACAAGCGTAACATCTTTTTTAAACATATCTACGCTTTAAATATTATATTATTTTTAATTTATCTGCCTATCAGCGTTACAAAATTATTCAACCAACCGATCATAAACGACACTATAACAATTCCTAATGCATTATATAATGGTTGTCAACTTTCGTTATGAAGTTTGTAAGTAATAGTACAGCTCTCTAAACATTTGTTGTTGTTGTTTTTATTCTTGCAGCGCCCTCAGCAAAGCCTGTTGACCTCAAAGTGATTCCTCTCAACTCCAGTAGTCTCAGAGCAACGTGGAAGGTGAGTGTCGAATTACCGTTCTGTTCTTGTGTCTAAATTTTAATTTGATTTATGGATATTTACTAGACACTGCGAGCACGCAACCACAAATAATGTCTAAGCTTCCTTACCCTACAGTCAGCTTCCAGGCAGTTACGCTTTCTATTCATCACCTTAGCATTAGACACTTCCTTTAAAGGGGTGGTGAAACAATTTCTGTGCTAGTAATAAGTCCCAGACATTGTTAGATATCGGCTATTTCCGTCCGCAGTGAGTTGACACGAGCTACTAACCGAAAGCTCGTCGAGGCATTGACTGTCACGAGGCAAAGCCGAGTACTTATGCAGTGCTCGTGTCCAATCTATAACCCGTATGTAACTATCATCACCAAGAGATTATCCCCGTGAATACGCCAACACTAGGACCCCTGTTACTACGTCATCAAATTTTGCTAAAGGAAGACTAAAAAAAAAAATTTTATCCCTCTAATTTTACCGCGACAAAGACGCGTCTTGGTCAGTGACCTTACGTGCGAGAATACCTGGATCACACTAGTGCCAGTGAGATTGTGTGAAGTGAGAAACATTTCAACCCAATATTGTTTCACGGCCCATTTAAGTCTTCTGAAACCCCTTCCTGCCACAGGCTCCGTCAGGCGAGAGCAAGATTGCAGGATACTACGTCGGCTACAAGGTGGAACTGGACGGCCGTTCGGAGTCGTATGTGTACAAGACAGTGGAGTCCAGACCCGGTGTGAGTCAAGAGTGCGACCTGAAGGACCTGCGGCCTGGCACCAAGTACACCGTCTTAGTTCAAGCCTACAACGGCAAGGGTCCCGGTCCGAGTTCTAACGAAGTCATCGGAGAAACCCCGTCTTCCGGTAAGCTCGTCGTCAACCAAAGTAGCGTTCGTAAGAAAAGCTGATTTTTTTAATCCCCCTTAAGGTTGATTTAGACACTTGCCACTGATTACGACCGTGCGCCGTAAGACCTCTTACGACGAGAGAACAGACTGGTGCCTTCTATCGGACAGTCGTGGAACACACGGCATTTTCGTATATTTCCTATTATTTTCGCGCATCCTCATTTTTTATTGGCTCAAAAAACTCTTGGCAATGTTAAGAAAACTACCATTTTACGTAGATGGTATGTACACTCTAGGAAAAAGGAGGTCAGGACTTTGTCTTTCCGGGTAACTAATGGGGGACTAACGGGACGGGAGCAACTTTGGCGCCCTTCCCAGAAGTCCCTCAAAGTTGGACCCCTCAGGATTAACCTTTACACCCCCCTGCATTTGTATCCTTGGGACTAAATGTTGCGCCCTTGCATATATATTACTGGGACTAAAAGTAAATTTTTTGCATTGTGGTCCCGAGCCACACAATTTTGAACCTTTGCTTTTTACACTCTTGGACTAATATTTGTAACCCGCAAATCGCGCCTCACCGAAGAAATGTGCCTCACGCAGACGAACTGGTTGCTCAATGTGCTGCAATCACAGAAACAAAGTGTTTCTGTTCAAATCAAATGAAGCTTTATTGCCTCGCAGATATTCATCAGTCAAGGATGACCGAATTCGAATTTTCTAACCCTAAGAATACGGTAAAGTCGAATTTCGAAGGCTGCATTTGCGTCGACGATGACTTCGACACTGCGACGCCTGTTCAAACCGGTCGTTTTGCAAGCACCTTTTTCTGAGGCAGCTACAGGTTCTTGCCTATTCGCGAGAAATTTGAAGCATTAGTAACACTGGCAGTGTTAAATACCTAATCGTCTAATAAAAGCATAAGGTTTTACACACCCGTAATAAAATAAGAAGCAGTATGCATAAGTGCTGCAACGGCTCGCATAAAACATGCGATCTATTGGCAGCGGACCAGTGCAATATTGTAAAGTATTAGTAGACCGTACGCTGCGGAATACGGACCCAGCGTGCGCAAGCTCAATTTATGCTTCGAAGTGATAAAATGAACTCCTACAAGCAACGCGAAAGTCTAGGTACAGTCAACTAAACGTTTCGATTGCGTTCAAACAGAACCTGCCAGGGTTTGCAAAACAGAAATAAACCATCAGTAGAATTGGTGTCTCGCTCGCTTTTATGAGGTAACCACAAGCAATTGAATCCCACGTCGTATGTGACACATGACAAGATCAGCACCCATGGTGCCAAAAAGAATACAGCATGGCGCGCGCTTTGTCAGTTCGAGAACGCTCTTCAAACAGAAAACACTTTCTCAAGCCGGAGATAATGAATACACGTCGTAAACAGTGTTTCGACATGCCTTTATCGAGTTCTCTTGACTTGTGGCTTCCGATTCAGAACAGATCAAGCGCAGTGCTGCAGCACCGCGAATCCAAACCGGATCCCGCGATCCCCCTTAGGGAGAGCAAAATGGCGGCCAAAAGCAATTCAGACTGACGTAAAGGGAGACGACGCAGCCCGTTCTGTGGACGTTCTTCTCCCTCGTCAGCGCGCCGGTCGAGTGACGTATGTGACACGTGTCACCAAGAAACAACTACTCAGAGCTCTTTATTTACAATCAAACGCGCTGTTTTGTAGCGTGAGCTACACCGGCCGAGGTTGAGCAGTTTCGCGTGGCTGTCGAAGAGCCGTGCTGCACAAGCGCGAGGAGCAGTGACGTCACACGGCGCACAGCTGGCGCGCCGGAGCCGCTGCCGCCGCGCGCTCCGCCGCCGCGCGCTCCGCCGCCGCGCGCTCCGCCGCCGCGCGCTCCGCCGCCGCGCGCTCCGCCGCCGCGCGCTCCGCCGCCGCGCGCTCCGCCGCCGCGCGCTCCGCCGCCGCCGCGCGCGCCTCGCCGGTCTGCGCGTGCGCGAGGAGCAGTAACGTCACACGGCGCACTCGTGGCGCGCCGGAGCCGCCGCCGCCGCGCGCTCCGCTGCCACCGCGCGCGCCTCGCCGGTCTACGCATTTCAGAGGAGTGACGTCATAGCCGCGGCAGACGCACTGGCGCCGCCGCGTGCCCAGTCGTGCGCCTCCGTTGCGCAGCAGCCAAGTCTGACGTTACACCGGAGGCGCTTGATAGCGCCTCTCATTTTGTGCGCATAAGCTCACGCTACGTATATGCTGGCATAGCCGACCCAAGCCACCGCAATATTTTTGTTTGTTTCTTTGTTTCTTTTTTTTTTAACGTTTTTAATTTTCTCGGTGTTCCTTTTTTATTTTTGTATTTGCTTTGCCACGGCAACTGGCACGGTGTTGTAACGGCTGACATTGCGGGCACGTTCAGTTCGTTCTTCATTGTTGATCTGGAATGTAATGTGAAACAGCGACCACGACATAAAGGCGTTGGGATACTGCCCCTGAATGTGCTTTCTGAGTGGAACGTTCTGTGCATCAAGTGTGATTTTGAATTCGGCATAGGCCCACCCAGAAAGGTTGGTCAAGGGTACACTGAACTAGAAATGGTTGAGTGGGGCGAGCTACAGGATCTGCTCATGCTTTCAGTTAAAGCTCAGAATGTGAAAAGTTGGCGTGGTGGCGCTGCGATAAGTGGCTTGGTTTCTCCTAGATTTTCGTCGTAGTAACGTCTTGAGTTGGCGATGGTGGGAGAGGACTTTGCCCCTTGGCTTAAATTTCGAGCCAAGGAATTTCATTTTTGCCACCCTGACAACCTTGCATTGCTGTGGCAAATAGGGTTCAAATAGTACATATCTTGTACATTAGTCCTTTTTATGCAACGAGTCGAATTTAGAACCAGCGAACTGGGCAAAGCATTGATAAAATATTGTTAACACAGAATGTGCTTTAGCAGCCGATTTCTATGAAAAATGCTTTTGGTTCCACCGCCACGCTCGACCGTCATCCTCAAGCGTTACGCTGGTCACGTCAAAACACAATGTCACGACGCCGTGACGATGACCTCTCGCACACAAGAAAGAAAAAGACTCGCAGTCTTGACTAACAACCAACGTTATTAAACCACTCAATCGGGAAACTGCCATAGAGACCGCTTTGAAAAAGTGGACCCGATTTGTCCTCCAGCACCGAGCTAATGACGAACACAACGCCACCATTTCTCCCGCAGCGGCCACTCGAGGCGTCTATTTTGGCTTTAATCGGCCATGTTGGCGCCGAAACAGATACAGCGGAAGAGGTCACAGGGGTACCACCCCCGTCTCCCCTTGCGGACGCGCCGCGCCTTACTACCGAAGTTAAAATGCATCTAGGCCGAGACGCGCTACATGAACGCACCGCTGAGGCATGCTTGTATAAAAACAATATTAATTGTGCCGCAAAACCTTGCAAACTAAAGATTATAAAAACATCACGCGCCCTTCATTTGTACTAGACTCCAATAAATTTCATACAAAAAGAGTCTTTTCCGTTTGTTTTTACGCAAAAACATGCTTTTAAAAGCTCTAGGTGACCACAGTGCAGACAAATGATAAAGAGTGGCGCTGTTGTCGCATTTAGCTCGGTCTCGGTGGACGCCAGCGGCCCAGGTTTCGACGGCGCGTTCTTAACTGAGTGTTCTAGTAACGTTGCTAACAACTCAGTGGTATGTTCAAGGACGTTTAAACAGACAGGACCCGGCATGACGTCAGCCTCAGTGAAGCCGGAAGAGGCGTTTAATCCCAGACTGCCTTGCGCACCCGTTCCGAGGCCGTGGGGTAGCGCACCGGCGGTTCGTCTGCTTTCTAATCTGCTCCGGCGTGTGCTTCACGAGGCTAGCTTTCGATGCGGTCGGCGTCCGCCGTGGGCTTCCACGATGCAAATGCTTTGCAGCGTGAGTGTTTATACTTAGTTCCACATTATGTGCGAGCGAAGTCAGAACTGGAAGCGCGAGCCCGTTGTTCTGCGCGCTCCTGGCTTGCATGCGCGCTCGTGCGATCTGCTGCTGCTGTTAATTAAAAAATGCGTTGCGCACCGCCAAGTCCTTCACGGTGCGTCGTCTAGAGCGTCTCAATAGACCGATCTCACAGCTAGTTTGAGTACGCCACCGCTGCCGACATGCATCCTGGGAGCTGTAGTCTTTCTGCACGCGCGACAACCCTGCTGGAGGTCTGCGCGAGCAGAGCACGTGGCGGCACGAGCTATCTCGTGAACTGGCGTCTGCTTCCTACGAACTACAGTTATGGCGGCGTCGCGCATGCGTGGAACGCTTGGTGAGATCGGTCTATTCTAGTCACTTACTTTCTGCTGGGCAACCAGGCGTTCGTTTGTTATAATCTCATCCAATTCCGACCATACCGGTTTAAAAGTCTCCCGTTAAGCGCTGTTTCAAATAACAGTGGGTGCCGCCATTACTTTCGGTGCACACAGTCGCGTTGCCACGGAAATGTCATCGCAACGCGGTTGTTTGCACCGAAATTAATGGCGGCACCCACTCACTAGGCTTCCCATTGGTCAAGAAATGCTCGTTGCGGCTCGTGGCCACGCCTACTTCCGTTACACTTCGCTCCATGCATCGGGGATAGGGACGCCACCTCCTGCCCATTATAACCTCCTTGGGTATATTTCTCTTCCCTCAAATCGTCATCTTCTTCTCCTTCGCCGTTAAAAAGATTTAATTTTTTTTTAAATACCAGAAACGATATAGCCAATAAACATTAATAAATAAATAAATAAATGACAAATAAAAATATAAACAAATTTAAAAAATGTATTAATTTAATTTTTTTTGTCATTTATTTATTTATTTATGTTTGTTAGCTATTTGCTTTCTTGTGTTTTAAAATTTTTAAACGCTCTCTTTAACGGCGAAGGAGAAGATGATAACTATTTGAGGAAAGAGAAATATATCACTGAGTTGTTAGTCAGTGCTGCGAGGCTGTTTCTTTCTTGTGTGCCTGTGACTATGACTGGGTATCCGCGCTGTTCCATCCAAGCAAGAATTACCACTAGCCTAAGCCTCCACATTATCAAACATTTCCCTCGCGTTTTTGTTTCTTTTTTTTTTTTTTTCTTGCAGCTACAGGGGCCGCCAACTTTGCTTTAATCGATGGTTAATGCTTTCGCATGAAAAAAACATTTTGAGGCCACCTAAGCATTTCTTATGAGTTGTGAATTCGAAAGCATGAATGTCGTCCTTCCGCTCCCTTATTTCGTCTGCGGTGAACTGGAGTGGACAGCCATGTTTTGCTACTGCCGAGGTAGCGGCCGCCGACGATATAGATGCCTCAGTCGCCGCCATATTCCTCGATGACAAAACCTTTGCTCTCGTGATGTATCAACTTATAGATGGCACCAGCGTGCGACCGTCTTCTCTCGTCATAAGAGGTCACACGAAGTTGGTCGTAAGCAAATGCAAGTGTGCAGTGAACGGCCTTTATACTAGTACTCTGCCGGTTGTCGTCAGGGTGTCTCGGTGCGATGGCTGTCGAGCTAACAATAGGCCCTTTTCGAGAGTACGTCGGGCAACATTGGCGGTCGCCATTTCTTGGCCACGAAACGCGTGATTGGATCCGAGTCCTCACCGAACGCCGACGCAGCGCTCGTTCTCCTCTACGGACGAGCCGAATTCACGCTGAGCGGTGGCGCACAACTCGTGTTGCTCAGAGTACGTGGCCAAACAACGGCGGACTTAGATCATTGGCGCAGTATATAGCTACAAGATGGTGTGCACTTTTGAGAGGGGTTTATTACGCAGTCATAGTTACTTTGACAGAATGAGAACGACAAAGCGTCTCTTCTGGGATGCACGCTCTCGTTGCCTTCCGTCATGCTTTGGCTGCGTGTGCCCGATCGATTCGTCTTGAGGAACTCCGAAGCATAATCGAAGCTGGGAAGATAGTACTAGAGCTGGGACAACCAGGTAACCTCCCTGTCATTATAATCCTTTGAGTGACCATGGACCATTCTACAGGGTGATTCAAGGAGAGGCCAGGCTCTTTAAATCGACCGTAAAATTCGGTTTCTTGACCTATCGCGCTACGACTTTGTGCAGCGTTGCCCACAGATAGTGCTTTTTTTTAATTTGCAAAGAGCGACCTTACCTGAAGAAAAAGTAAAGAAAGAAAAAGGCTTAGCTCCTATGGAAACGCAGCGACGCCACCGGTCTTCAAACAACACGGCGCCGTTTCGCACGGGAGACAAGAGATGGCGCAAGTGGTCGCGACGCCAACTGCCGCCAACAAACGAGCATACGACGCCGAGAGTCGGCGTCTTTACCAGAAAAGGAACTGCAGTTCCTTGTTGTTACCGCGCCTGTTTTTGTTTCTGCGACTGCCGTCGCCTGCGCAACGCGCGCCGCTTTTGAGTCGAAAAGATTGTAAAGACGCCGGCTCACGGCGCCGTATGCTCGTTCGTTGGCGGCGTCCATTGAGCCATCTCTTGTCTCCCGTGCGAAACGGCGCCGTGTTGTTTGAAACCCGGTGGCGTCGTTGCGTTTCCATAGGAGCTAACCTTTTTTCTTTCTTTGCTTTTTCCTCAGGTAAGTTCGCTCTTTGCAAATTTTACAAAAACAAATGCACCATCTCTGGGCAACGCTGCACAAAGTCGTAGCGCGACAGGTTAAGAAACCGAACTCTGAGGTCGATTTAAAGAGCCTGGCCTCTCCTTGAATCACCCTGTAGAAAAGGACTTCTGATTAGTGCCATTTCTATATATGTTCGTACGTATGGCGTATGCTTTGCTGGTCTTTTGAAGTAACGAACATCCACGTACTGGACTGTGACCTAGTATACGTGTGAGCTGCGGTTTTTCAACAAACATTGAAATTGTGTCGTTTGTTTGGCGTGAGTGCAGGAGGAACCCGTCGCGACCGTGTTTTTGTCAGCAGTATACGACCTGTTTACGATATACAATTCGAGAATTCGCAGATTCACACCACACAGTCTCGGTATTCCGTAGACACTCTCTTTCTTCCACTCCCTCTCTTTCTCTACAGATCTTGCGTCGTTATTCCGAGTGTCCATCAATTCCACGTCTTCCACTGAAATTCGCATCGCCTGGCATGACGTGCTTGGAACCAGGCACGGTAAGGACAAGCAGTGTGGCTGACGTTTCGCGTTGCAGTCAACGCTTGGTGTCAGCGCCGCTCGCGAGTGTATTATAACATAATACCGCGTTTTCTGCGTCTTAATGGGATCTCCTATGAGAGCCAGATGTTGACGCTGTGTTCTGCTACTTGTGCGCGAATTTCATTTTTTTTCGTGAAAACGTACCTGTTCTTTCGAAAACCACAGCCCAAGGATGGAGGCTGCTTTATTTCGCCAAAATAATAGACAAGTATTATACGCCCAGCGAAACACGGCGTCACACGATAAGACTAGACAAATTATCCGAACTGAGAATGCTGAAGAGTTCGCAGCAATGAAGCTCCTTGGCGAAAATTACTGCACTAGAATAGTCATTTGCATTTGCGTGAAGCAAGAAAGTATACTTGGAGTATGTTTTCAGTATACATTAATAAAAATTCAAGGTTTGAATTATATACTTCTAATAAATGTTGAGTGTACCTCTTGCTCTGTAGTCTTGCATTAAACTCTGTCACCGATTCTGTCAACCTGCCGGAATCTGCCGCTGATCACGTCTAGCCACTATGGTATAAACACTCAAAGTAAAGTGAGAATACATACTTAGTGTATAAATGTCTAAAGCACACTTTTCTGTTTCATAAAAGTGTTAAATAATTACAATATTTATGTTTTTCATGCCAAGAAAAGGTGAATGCCCTAGGAAAACAAGCCCATTCCCTCTTCAGAACATATGTGAATGGGCACTTTAGTTGGTTTAATTAGGGAAATCCTGTGTGAGATCTACAGAAGGAATACTTTCCTCCAAATACAGGTTACAAGTTGTTTCTGCGAGCCAACTCCAGCGACTGGGAGGCCTACAAGGTGTCCAGTGGCTCCAGCAGTTACACGTTCACGAACCTGCGCTGCGGAACCAAGTACGAGGTGTATGTCGAAGCCCTGGTGGATGCGCAGTCCAGGCCTAGGATGACACCCATTGCCGTCGCCAACACCAAAGGCTCTGGTAAGTTCCAACGGTCTGTCTCAAAACGGAGCATCCGTAATATCAGAACGAAACTTCCAACAAGGCTGTATAAATAGTAAAAGTAAATATGGACCACGAAAACAGAAGAGGAACATGAGAGACAATACAGACGACACATCCATTGTGAGTACAGCCTGCGTCGTCTGTATTGTTTTGTATTGTATAGGTTCCCCAACTAGGTTTCTTGCAGCCCTTAAGCTCCCCCAGAGCACCCTACAGGGTTCCCCGAACATCTAATTTCTCTCGATGTTTCCTACTCTATGTAATATGTTCACACTCTGTTTCCTACTCTACATAATATGTTCACACTCTGAACGGTACTTCAGGATGGACCCCTGCCGCACGGTAAACGTTAATGTAATTTCCATCTAATTATATTACATGATTGGCCAATCCGCGCGCGCCATTCCCGGCGGAGCATGATGCACGCGCAACGCTCGTACGAGCTGATTCACCGAGCAGTTAATATTATTTGATAGAAATAATTACCGGCGCGTGATCGTTTTTTGTTGTTTTTTGCCACTGATGACGAACGAACAAAAACGATGAGCGCGGTGACGGTGCACTTTTGACGATGTTTGGTTGGTTCCGTCAGATCGTATACGCTGGCTGCGGTAAGCCATTATGTGTAGTGTAACGTAGCACGTTCATTGTTGATAACAAAGCCCGTTGGTCTTTGTACTGCCCAGTACGTGCAACGGTGCCGAAGTGAGCAAGAGTTGTTCATCCGTCATTCAGTACAAATAGGTGTTCCTCGGGGTCAATGAGCTGTTTGAGAATCCTTGGCCTAGAGTAACAGACGGTAACCCTCTAACAATCTAGCCTCGCGTGTTTCTCTTTGCATTTCAGTGCCGACAGCGCCGTCGCATCAGCAACCCCTTCTCGTGAACGGCGAGAGCGTTCCGCTAGACCTGGAAGCCTTCGGGGACGGCGGTTGTCCGATCTCGTACTACGTGGTCAAGTACAGGGCCGCGGACGAGAAGGAGTGGACCGTGGTCTCGAAGGAGCCCGGCCAGGCCGAGCAAGACGAGAATCACGTGGTCACCCTGAGCCATCTCGAACGTGGACGACGCTACAAATTGCTCCTGGGGGCTGCCAATTCGGCCGGCTACACGGAAGCTCTGTACGACGTCCACGTGTCTCCAGCCAGCAAAGGTAGGTTGTTGAGGCGGGTGACGAGGTTATGCTACGACCCATCAAAGGCGTCTCCCACTGGTGTATTTACCACGTCCTTAATTGTAGTCTCTCGATATCCGTCTGACGATGATACAGACGTGTCTCGCTCTTGACTGCCGCAATCCCGGTGGTGGCACGGCCGTGGAGGCTGAATATGACACAGACGCCCATTCTGCTGTAGGTCGCACTTCAGCTTGACAGTCCATGCGCACTTCATCAACCAGGCGTTGGGACGCTCCTTGGTTGTTGCCAGAGCTAACCGCCAGGATCGCGATATTTGACATCACAACACACCGACTGCTGTGACGTCATTTGTTGCTGCTTGGGGACCGATTTCGATGCGTGGGGGCGAAATGGGGCCCTGAACATAACAATCAAAGACGCGTTCCGGCACCATAGTTACGCTAGGGTATTTTGCTGTGTAGACATCGGACAACTCCTGCTGGATTCGATTTCGGTGCCGGGTAAAAGCGAGCAGGCTTCTTTTTTTTTTTTTTTTTTGGGGGGGGGGGGGGGGGGCTTTGATTGGACGTGACGCAACTTTGGCTAGGCGCCCTTTTTCGACCAATGAGAAATACTTCTCAACTACAGACGGATCGTGAGAAATGTCTCGCGGCCGAAAATAACCTCGTCCTGCATAGCTTTTTTTTTTTCTTTTTTTGGTGGTGATGATTTTATTGAGAACATATACAAAATAACCTGGGATAACTACCGAATTGCGAGAAAATATTGATTTAGGGTAGCAAAACCTAATAAACGCATAATTTGAGAGAGGGCGTGAAATCCGGAAAAAACAAACACACTATTTCTGCAAAAACATAACCGGCTAAAACACCGAATCCTGGTTGTAAATCCCGGGATTGTTCCTGGATTTAATCCCCACACCTGGCCATTTTACTCTGGGTGAAAATTCGTACTGCCACGAGGTTAGGCAATCACAACTGCGTAACGCACTAGTTAAATTGCCAAACCACAGTAGAAATAACACTATTTCGATGCGGGTTATCTTCCACTGTTTAACCCTTCAAACAAGAAATTTTACTTTGAGCGCGTGGAGACGCAAACGAGTGTGTATTTCTTGTATGTTACTTACCTTGGTGGTTAGCAGATCTGAACATCACTCAGCCCTTCTTCGCGTCCGTCTCTGTTGGCGCTTACAAGTTTCCCAAGTGTCATGTTCCGGCATATCGGAGGAGGGGGGGGGGGGGGGGGGGGGAGGGGTGTACAAAATCCGTTTTATGGACCCTTTTAAGACTCCATTACGAATATTATTGTTATTTGTAAAGCTCTTTCAGCGTTAGTACACCCTCAGCATTGCTTGTGCGTTTGTGTGTGTGTCTGTTGTTCGTGCGTGTATGTATGTACGTATGCGTGCTCGCGCGTGTTTGTGTGTGCGTGCATGTGTGTATGTGCGTGTGTGTGAAAAAGAGAGAAAGAAAAAAAGACTGTGAGACCCATGGTTCCTGCTGTTTCATTTTTCGGGTTGGTTCCCAGGTGTTTCGGAGACGTCGACGGGAGCCGTGTCGCAGCAAGAGATGCACCGCAAGTTGGCCGTCGTGACTTCCATCGTCTGCTCCGTGGTCGTCCTGGTCGTCATCATCGTGGCCGCCTGCGTGGAGCTCAATCGGCGCCGGAGAGGGAGGGCGGAAACGACCGCCTCGGACGTTTATGGTGAGTCGTTCCGCGAATGCGGCCCCAGTGCTACGGACAACCGCTCCGATAGCGAAATACCTTATCTTCCTGCAGATTTTGTGTCGTTCTATGTGTGTTACGCTTTCCGCGATGAACGGCGTGAATAGCTATAATATTCTAGTCAGTGAGAGGTTATAAAAGCAGTAGACGCCTCGCCTCCTGCACAAGCTTTCTGTCTTTGATAAGATTTCGTCACACGTGCAGCCGAAGCCCCTTGGGAGGCAACGAGAGTGTGTTGGAGACGGAGCTTACACTGACTGTTTGACCTATCACCGACTATAGGTAAAGGTTTGGTAACTCTCGGCCTGGTTAGGAGAATACATCAGAAAAAAATTACAAAATGTAACCAAGCATATTTAACAAACTTGCAACTTTTGCCCGACTGTAGGTCTAGTTAGTCAAAGTGCAAGTCTAGGTCAAAGAGTAAAAATTGTTTACTTGTCGGGTTTATAAAGGACCAGTCTGGCCGAGGTGCCTTAATCTGCAATCTGGCGGTGAGCTCTCAAACTACCGTTGGCATGCAAAAAAAAAAATTTTGAATTAAATATAAAATAAGTCTATAAAAAAAAATGTCAACGTGGTGAAACTAGAAGTTAAAAAAATAGAGATAGAGGCACCGTTAATCTTCGCTAGAACGCCTCTGTATCGGTTTTGAAACCACCAATTTCAAGATCTTTGCTCGGAAATTATAATTATCTTAGTCGTAGGGAGCAAGGGTATTATTAGAGCAGTGTATAGAGAGAGCGTGGTCGATAGAAGGCGCGGGCAGAGGCAGGGCGTGCACCAAACACAAAAAGAGGGCTTGACATGCTCTCTTGGCAAACCAAAAGTCTAAAAGCATCCCCTAGCTGTGGTAGCGAGAAACATTTTTAATCATAGTTATATGATTTTAATAAGCGCGTAATCGGTGAATTTAGTAACCCTTCATGGATGAAAGTAGAGTTCACGTGATGTTTCGATCGTGATCATGCAGAAAGATGTAAGAAACGAACGTGCCGCTCAACTCTGTTTTGCTCGGACAGAGTGTGACCGCTCGGACGGCAGATGGATGACCGTGATTGAAACATCACGTGCACCGTATTTTCAATCACCGAGAGTTACTCCGACGCAGTTATTAAGTTTGTTTCTCACGACCACCACCGGGATATTATTTCCGGCTTTTGGTTGGCCACATTCGAACTTGTGAAGACGCCCTGGTACACGCCCAGCTCGCTTTCAGCCAATGGTGCTTTCTCATTTTTCTCCTATACTTCCCAATTAATGGCCACACTGTCTCTATACACGGCTCTGGGTAGCACCAGACCAACGCCTCCTATAGTTTTCAATGCCGTTGTGATTGCTTTTCTGCTACACCCACTGAAAGTGCTCTGTCAGCGTCAATCGAACGCGCTTCCCACCTGAACGCTGATGCGGCGCTCGCGTCAAGTTTTTGTCCCGCTCTTGTCTCGGCGAGATGAGGAGCGTCCTCACTGATGGCCTAATACTCACTGCGGTCCCTGAAACGCGTCTTCGACCGGTGTGCTTAGCGTCTTATATCTCGCTCATACATCAAAAGTGGTTCCAAGGTGGCACCAAATGACGTCACAGAAGCCCCAGTGTCATGCTTGTCAGACTGTCGCGATCCTGGCGGTTGGCCGCAGAAATGCCGGCGAGAAATACGAACGAACGCGAGTGCCGCTGTCGTCGCGGCGTCCCAACTTCTGGCTGCCGAAACTTCCGTGGACTGTCACGCGTACTGGAGAGCGACCTATAACAGAAGAGGCAGGCGTTGGCCACTTCCATCACCGCTGCTGTGCTACCGCCAGGATCGCGGCCGGCGACAGCCCGACACTTTTATAATGTTACCAATCAAAAATCAATTTTTTTTTTTTTTGACGCGGTAAGCATTATAGTTGGATACGCGTTCCAGGCACCAATGTATTCGTAGAATCCGCATAACATTTGGTGTCTTTATTTATTAGGATGACCTCAATGAGCCAATAAAAGTTTAATTTCAACTTGCCTTAAAAAGCTTTTTTTTTTACAGCGATTTTTTGTTTTAGTTGATTCCGTCTGTTTGTACGTGTCCGTCGTGGCCCACTAACTCTAGCGGGAATTTAGTTTTGCCTGACATCGTGCACACTGTCACACGACGTCGGAGTGTTCCACAGGCACAGTCGGCTAAATTTAGCGGAAAGTAAGCCCCCCAAGTTTAAACGTGCCGGTGTAACTGCGTGCAGCAGTGTGTGCGCTGCGCCTCTTATTATTGCCGCAATTCATTTGCACAATACAGCGTAGAAATCGCCTTCTTTTATCTTCGTTTTTCTTTCTTTCATACAGCCGAGCCTCGGCTAAAGCCCGTCCGTAAGTGCGAAGAAATCGCCATGGCCACGTGGGACAAGCAGAAGGATCCCATGCCTCAGCAGACGCGAAACGGCGACGTCACGCACCACCAGCTGTACGCCCCGTGTCCGTACGGCACCACGTCGGGGGGCAGGGTACTCCACGAAGCCACGCTAGGGCGGCGCTCTCACACGAGGGCTGAGATCGTCGAGGAACTGTACGACATGCCGCTCCCGCCGGTAACCACTTCCCCACAGTACTACTGTCTTCGGTAACTCAATCAGCGAACGAGGTTTTTGACGAGGAAATGGCTTAAAATGTGTGTTCTATATAAAAATTGAAAATAATATCTCAGGTTTTTTGTTTTTTTTTTTCGTGAGACTAATTATGTCAGTTTATCTAAGTGCAACAAAATGCGAGTTATCCGAATGTGCGTCCCGCTTTTATACGAAACGCGCAATCGAAGGCGGGAGGGCAGGCTGCCTGCACACCCGTCTTCCTGCCCGTAAGGGCCGGTGCTACCCGCCTACCCACCTGCCTGCCTGCCCTCCCACCCGACCGCCTGCCTGCCGGTAAGCAGGAAGGCAGTCAAGCGGGCAGGAGGCGGACAGGCAGGCAGGCAGGCAGGCAGGCAGGCAGGCAGGCAGGCGGGCTGGCGGGCTGGCGGGCTGGCGGGCTGGTGGGTGGGCAGGCAGGCGGGTGAGGGGACAGGTCAGGCAGGCGGGCAGGCGAGCAGCGGCATGCAGGCGGGCGGGAAGGCAGGCGAGTGGGCCGGACAGGTAGGAGGAGGAGGGGAGGGTGACAGCGGGCAGGCGGGCGGGCACTCCTGCTTGTCAGTTTCCTCTCCTCCTCCCCAGGCAGGCGGGTGGGCAGGCGGGCAGGCGGGCAGGCAGGGAGCATCGCCCGCCTGCCTGTCCGCCTGCCTAAAGCAGGCGGGTGAGCGGGGAAAGGAGATTAGCCTGACTTTCCGTTCCTTCAAAAATCTAGTGCATTTTTCGCGTTATTTTTGCTTTATGTGTGTGATTACCTGTGCTCGCTTAACCAAAGTGACCGGCGTACCCCTGACTTTCTAAGTTTGAGCGTGAGACGACAGAACACTGACAGCGAAATGCCACTTGCATTTCAGTACGCTGTTCATCAACACATCGTTCGAGTGGACTCCATACCACTTCCTAACCCGGACAAAGAGTCCCACCTTTAACTAAACAAAAACACTCTAGCGGTGCAAAGGTACAGAAAAATGAAGCCCCGACAGAGCACATTCATTCAGAACTGCGCTTTCCACTTCTTTATCTTTTCACAAAATGCACAATGCACAAACACTGATGCCTTCTCAACCAGCGATACGTTATGCTGAATGAACATTGACCTTCCCACGCTTGAACTATTATCCTTATGAGTTGCAAAGTTTCTTCCTTGGCATTATGCATCTTGGCCGCTTGTTTGTGCACGTGTGATTTTGATTTTTTTTCACGCTGTCTGTATAATTTCTTTTCCTTTTTTTTTTTACTTTGGATGCGTCATGGCTGGCGCAAAAGTTCGCGAAACAGAGCATGAATCTTGCGTTACGCTCGAAATGGTGCCTGAATACTGATTCTGATTTAGCTATTTAATCTCGATTGAACACCATGTATGCTAATAATCTATGCTGTCTTCGTGAAAACCAAGTAGGAATGTGTGCGATGCTTTTTCTGCTCATGTTTTGCTTCTATTATCTTCAAATTTATCGTTCTTCTCCCCGCCCTATTAGCCGTTATTCCATTACTTTGTTTACCGTACTTAAATTAAGATGGGATACAAAGAGCATAAACCTTTAAAGTGTTTTGCTTGTATTTGTACATTAACTTATTATAGCATTCACTTCTTAATCGGCATAATTAAATCATAGGCCTATTTGACTTAACATTCCAACTCTCTTTATTTATGGCTTCAAGCAGTGAATTAGTTCTTAGCTGATTGAAGACCGTACCCTACTATTAAATCAAAATAATATTTTGTTTATGTGTATATACAAGGAACTAAATTAACAAGACGCTACGAAGCCCTATTCTGATGTCACCTGGTGTACCTCTTCCAAAGCTGTCTGGAATATTCTTACTTCTGTTAATTTTTGTTTTTTGTTAAGAGAAAACAAGAGCAAATGCATTACATTCTATTTTTCGTCCTTATTTACCAAAAATAAGCTTCCGTTGCAGCCCATGTAATCAAAGAATCGAAGCGAGAAAATTAAAAATGGGCTTCTTGTTTTCGCGTCGAGGAAGTAACATCAACAAAACAGGTTTACTTTAAAGAGGTACAGAAACGGAAATAGAAATATACAAATTTCGTTCGGAAATGAGCCAAGCACGACGGATAATAACCGTAAATGATAATCGCACGTCGGTATTTTGATGGACTGGCTATATTTTTCGTTCCAAACGGTGCACTCGAGCAAGCGCTCGAAGACAAGTGAACGGAGAGCACGATGCGGCATGGGATATCCGGAGCAAACAAAAAACAAACAAGATTCCCCGCATTCATGACGTAGCAAGGCTGGCGTGCTTATGAGCTTTGCCCTTGGTGGCGTTGTCAGCGTTGCGGTGACGGCAACGCGTTACAACCGAGCCGTTCGAAGTACCCGTGGGGTGACATCGTTTCACTTGTGAGATCAGTCGTGCAAGCGTTTCACGTGTGAGCTGGTCGGTTTTTCTCTTCTTGGAGAAAAAACAAGGCAGGACTCCCCGTTTTAGTCGTTTTTTTTTTTTTGTTTTTTTTTTAGCCGGCAGATTCAAGTTCTTCATCCTCAACACGAAAGTGTTGATGATGAAGTCCTCAACACGAAAGTGATTGGCACACAACCGAGCAGCAGGCGTCGGAACTCACGTCGGAAACGACGGACCTGCGAGCCAGATCCGCAGGGCGCAAAGTTTCTCGTCGTTCGGAAACTTGTCGATGGGCATAGCGCTGTTGACCAAGTCTTTACCACAGTTCTCAGCTATGCAGAAGCGTGGCGGCATCTCGACATTAAAAAGCACAAACGGCTTTAAACTGTACAGCAAAGTCACAGGAACAACTCGGCGAAATTCCCCGAGTCCATCATAACATCCCGTTGGGTTCCTTCGGAAAGCGGTAAAGGCGTCGCAATCGCGTTCAGACCGAGGCAACTTAAAACAGTTGAGCGTACTCCCAAAGGGCGGCGCTGCTCCTATGTTTTGTGCGGCTACGTGCCGGTTCTTGCTACGTCATGATACGTAGCGAATTCCCAACGTTGCTAGATTACCTCCCAATTAAGCTTTACAGGCATCCACCAGGTGCACATTGAAAGATCGTTTAATTAGCTTTAAATTTAGTCTTCTCGTGCCTTCCAACGAAAGACGTGTTTTTGAGGTTATGCTGCCACATGCAACACATTTAAGCTAGAGATTCAGCGATGGAATTTTGTTTGCGTACCCCTTTAACGAGTGAATTATCACTATACGACGGCATCAGCTTCCATGCAGGAGCCTGATAAAATCTACTTTTTTTTTTAACTTAAAGGAAAAAAAAAGGTCAAGATACATGTATCAGTTCATATTTCCGGATAGGCTAGATTGGTACCCGAGAGTCACTAAGATAGGGAACAATGTTTTCAGTCTTGCGCTAAAGGGACGGTGAAGGGACCAGTACTGTCTGTGAAGCCTTCGCTTGCGGGCCGTGATCCTAAGCTGAAACTGCGAAGCGCACTTCTGTATCCCATTACGCAATGCGAGAATCCGCTGTATTTAGATGATCAATCATTGGAATAATTAAAACAGCGCAGAAATAACGGAAGACATCTCAAACATACCGCTGTTTCTGAGTGTCTTCGAGTATCGTCCACAGCTGCTAAGGATTACATATGACGGCTCTGACACTAGAAAGACGATGCGACATACAGAAATAACTGCCAAATTTCTACTATTAGTGTCGGTACTTGTAGTCTTGCACAGCGCCGTTTAATCAAAGCATGAGAAACTAACTGGACCAGTCCGAATCATCGTGCCTCTGTCTTTTTTTTTGCGCTTTTTTTTAAATTTATTCTCGTCATGCATCAACCCTTCCAACCACACAAATTGTTAGTGTAATCAATATTTGAGCTTTAAGCATGCCATCTCGTTGGTTTTAACGAACTTAACTCTTTCTTTTGCACGTCTCTTTTTCAGGGATTTAGGTGCTAATCCTTAGGAATTAATCCTGCGAAAGTTCGCCAAAGACCGGATAAGCTTGTCCCGGAATCCTTCACCCAGCGAACCCCTGATGCCAGGGTTTGCTTCGTCAACGCAAACAAACCACAGGCTTGGAGATCCTCTCACGTGTCGGCTGGACTTTGCCGAAGAAACGTGACTGAGTGAGTGATGTGTGGTGCGCGTGCATTTAACTCCCAGACATCCAATTTGGTGCCCTGGACAACTCAACTAACAGGTGCAACCATCTCCAAGGAAAGAGCTGGCTTCTTCCGCCGCAATTACGAGACGAACAGAATCAAGAAACGCGGCTCGGAGTTTTCTTCTTTTTTTTTTTTTTTCTTTTTGATACAAGTGATTCAGACGATATAGAAACAATATGAATGGTGTCGTTGACTTAATTGACACCGAAAACAGTGAACATTTCCTTTAAGCTGGACGTTTGACGAGCTGCCATAGTGGATGAGGCTATCAACTGTTTGAGAATGAAGGGATTCGTCCACTACAAGGCGTTCGTTGTGGAGAAAGACTGTGAGAAGTCCGCAAGCTCGGCACTTGTGTGCGTCTCTGTGTGTATATAGTATCGAAAATACTGTTATCTTTTGTCTTTTCGGATGTATTTAAAATGACATGACCGAAGAAAACGAAAGCTGTTTATTTCTCAGTACATCAAACAAAAACCCCCGAACTTCGTTGTCTGTTTGTTTGTCTTTTTGTACAGGGAGTTCTAGGTAAATGATAATCGTGTTTTTCGGCCCGAGTAAGTCAACTACGCGTCACAGAAAGCTCAAACTCCGTGAGAATGAGACGCTGTCGGATGCAATATAACGCGAAAGTTTGAGAACATGACGTTACACCTGGATCAAAACGATAATTGAGAAAAACAAAATTTTCCTATGAGCAAGCATGCCTCGAACTCGGACATGGTTTAGGACAGTCTTTGTATCACCAACGTAACAGGATCGTCATACAGGGTCTGTCCCAAAAGTTCCCGGAATTGTTTTTTTTTATAAATCATCTATTCAATATCAGTTTACAATCTTTTCAAAACTTTTCAAAGTAATCTCCCCCTGCTTCGATGCACTGTTGCCAACGCTGAACCCAATCACTGAAGGCGCCCTGGAAGCCGTCAACAGGAACCTCCTTCAGTGAGGTCGTCGCAGCTGCTTTTACCGTCTCCAGCGTCCCATGCCGAGTTCCTTTCAGGGTTCTTTTGATTCTTGGGAATAAAAAGAAGTCCGGTGGTGCCAGATCGGGGCTGTACGGTGGCTGGGGCAGCGTTGGCACACACATTTTGGCCAGCAACTCGGAGACAATGAGCGCGGTGTTGCTTGACGCAATGTCATGGTGCAAGATCCAGTTGTCGCAAATTCCTTTTCGGACTCGTCGAACCCTGTTTCGCAACTGTTTGAGCACTTCACAGTAAAACTCCTTGTTGACTGTTTGTCCCTGTGGCACGAATTCACTGTGAACCACACCTTTTCTGTCAAAAAACACAATGAGCATTGCCTTGATTCGCGATTTGCTCATCCTTGCTTTTTTCGGGCGAGGAGACTCCGTGGTGTGCCACTCGCTGCTCTGAAGCTTTAATTCGGGATCGTACTCAAAAAATCCACGTCTCATCCCCTGTGATCACTCTGTCCAAAAATTCTGGGTCTGTTTCGAAGCGTTTTTGCAATTCCTGACACTTCAACAAACGCTCTTCCTTCATCTCATTCGTCAGGACCTTTGGCACCATTTTCGCGCAGACTTTCCTCATTTGGAGATCCTCTGTTAAAATGCGATGAACGATTGTTTTGGGTATTCCACACTTATCTGCGACCATTCGTACGCTTAATCGCCGGTCATTGTCCAAAACGTGACGCACTTTTTGCACCGAGTCATCCGTTTGTGATGTCGACGGGCGTCCCGAGCGGTCGTCGTCGTTGACGGACTCCCGACCTTCCCGGAACCTCTTGCGCCACATGAAAGTTTGGCTTTTTTTCATCGCGTCGTCGCCGTAGGCTTTCCGAAGCATTTCGAGCGTCTCCGCTCCGTTTTTACCTAGTTGCACACAAAACTTGATTGCATAACGTTGCTCCAAAAACTGGTCCATTTTTTTTCTCGACGAGGGTGCTGTAGATGCCTCTGCGCGGAGCGGGACCTGCCTCAGCAACTGATAGCAGACAACTGAGACCGGTCTCGTTTCGAAGCTTATATCCCCCACTAACTTCTCCACCTGAAGCCCCACCCCGCCAGGCGGCGTTGCCGACCACAAAAAATCATTCCGGGAAGTTTTGGGACGGACCCTGTATATGAGGAAGGAACACGACTCCGACAGTGTCTTTAGACTGTCCTTTGTGTGACGTATTAGCGGTGGAACCACGGGTTTAGGGAGTTTTTGTAGACCGTTTCCTTCGTTCCCCAATGCGCTCCGCAACCCGCTACGAGATGCTGAACTTTGCAGACACGGCTCACGACGCGCAAGCGCAGTAGCCTTGTCTTCGTTGCGTAGAGCACAGCGGAAAGTGAAGCGCGGCGTACGAAAACTCCCTATTCATGTTCCAATTAAAACCTAGAAGAAAAACCTTTAGCCTTTCCACTTTGGTGAAGAAGGAAAACCAGCGAGGCTGTACTATGGTGGGAATGAAGTAATGGCCGGCCGTAAGTCGGCAAGCCAGAATGGAAAGGCTGGACAGCTACCGCCATTTATGAGCGACGGTGGCAAGCGGACAACCGGCAAACGCAACACTCTGGACAGCTACCGCCATCTATGAGCGACGGCGGCAACCAGAGTGTTGTGTCGACGTTTCTTTGAGGGGGACACGACCCTGGGGAAACTAGCCCTTAACAGCTCCGCCGTGAAAAAAAACATACAAGCTGCATCATGCTGACAAAGACTGGTAAGTGCAGAATATGTGAATAGGTCTTCCAAGGAAGAGAAGGGCGGCTGAACGGCACCACCTACCAATGATTCTCTCCCATTTCTGACACACGCCGTGAGATGGCGCGGCATGACAGGACAGGCCGCGAACCGCACGAACGCACGCATTCGCTTTTGCGTGCTTGGTCCACCGACCCTGATATCTCATTCGACAGAGCACTTGGCTCACGATTTCGAGGTGGTGAGTGCAATTCCTGCCGGAAGACTGAAGTCTTTCTATGTGGTTTCCTATGGGCGTAACTAGGGAGCCTTCATGTGCGCTCTGCTAGGGTGATGCCACCCTTTGTAATACCACTCGCCGACAAACCAGCAGCCATTTTGGTCCTCGGCGATAATCCGTGGGCTTATAACCCTCCCGGAATCAAGCACCTTATCTCACAAATTCGGAGCAGCGTTGTGGAACCCACGGAGGGAGGATTAGCGTTTCCCACCTCGGATGAGAGGACCGATGGACACAAAGGCCACTTTCCGGCGCACGGGAAAACAATGAGGAACAAAATGGCGGTGGACGAGGGTGTGGGAAAGGGAAACAGGCAGTTGGCATCACCCTATGCGAAGCGCACATGGAGGCACCCTAGGCGTAACGCTTTTCGGTGTCGGTTTTAAGGTGAATGCCTTGTATGTCTCATCGTTCCGTCGACTTTCGAAGTCCTTCAGCGAAAACACGTTGACGACACGAAAGGAACCAAAATGGAAGGTACCATTGAAACGGCGGCAAAAATGCGTCGTCAGAGAGCGCTGCGTTTTCGGAGGCTCGCTATCACGTTTACATCGGCGCTTGGGCTTTGGCCTTCGCCTTAGGGATAACATAAGGGACCCTGTGGATTTTTTCGCTACGGCCGCCTGTTACTGCCGGCCGTTAGAGTCAAACGATACAAAACTCCATGAAAATCTGCTGATAAAAAATTGGCTGCGACCTTTTCCTTTGAAGTCAGTGCTTGAAATGCCTTATAGGGAATTGGTGAGGAAATGGGTGTGTCGCATCACGCATATTTTTCGCGCTAAATTTAGAGGGGAAATTGCATAGCTGTCTAGGTCACAACACGTTCATTTTCCCGTTGAATTTAGAGGGTAACCGAATTGGTGTGTAGTTCACTTGATGTCAATTTCCCACTACAATTTGCGGGAAAACTTAATTCATGTTTTGGGCACAAGACGGGAATTTTCCTGTTAAATTCATTAAGGAAAACTTGAGTTGACGTATAGATCACGTGCAGTCGATTTCCCCAAGGTGTATAGGCCACGTGACGTCAGGTGACGTCACTTGACGCCTCTTTCCCGCCACATTTAGGGGAAAACTGAATTGGTGTAGAGATCACGTGACGTCAATTTTTCCGCTAAATTGAGCTGAAAAACTGAAGTTCTGTATAGGTTTGATGATATCAATTTCCCCGTTAAATTTAGCGGGAAATGTACGGACGAAAGGACGGACGTACGGTCGAAATTGTGAGATCGTGGGGTTGCGTTAAAAGAATTTCATGCTTTAACAGATTCCGTGTTCAAAGGAGAAAAACTTATCAGCGTCCAACTTGTGACTTTCTGTTGGTGTTGCATTCTCAGAACAGTCATCGACCTAGAGTTGCAAGTGGACACTTCCGCTTCGAGACAGGTGGACACGAAACACGTAAGTTATTTTCAAAAGCGGCGAGTGATTGTGTGTTTCTTTAGACTGCGGAAACTTCTGTGGACTCCGCCACAAATGAAAAATGTCGCTGGTGCTGTACCACTGCTACAGCGTGGGGTCTTTAGCGTACATCACGCAATAGTGATGCACGTTAAAGTGATGCAAAAAGGACGAATTTTAATGGGAAGTAACAGTTTCTCGGTGTATTCCAACTTATGTTTACAAACAAATCGGAGCCCTCCTAGCGGCACGCCACCCTCACCGCGCATGCGCGATGGGGCAAGAAGCACGCAGTCTCGCGCCAACCAATCATTGAATTGTGTTGTTGGTCCGAGTCCCCGTGGGGGGGTGGGGGGGGGGGGGGGGGGGGGGGGGCCTGTTTCGCGTTGAAGTTGTTGATCCTACATCTTCCTAGCAATGACTTACTACTTTAGGGGCCTGAGCGAAACTAGCGAGGTTCGTTACACCTAAAATCTTCGTGTAAATGATGTGGTATATGTAGCGGTTCATTGGCGTGAGCCCCGCCAAGTAGATGCTAAAGCCTCATTCACATAATGAAATTTTTATCACCATTTTTAGGCGCGAAGTCGCTCGGGTTGCAAAAGCGTGGACGGTAGCTGCGATGCTCGGCGTCGACGCTGAAAATCGTAAGCACAATCGGACCAAGTTAATCAGGCATAACAAGTCGGTGATGTCCACTGATAACAATGATCAACGTCTCCTTGTATCTACGGCTACCCAAAATAACCTTCCACGTCGAAGCCTACGAAGCCGTCGATGACGGGACGCAGCAGTACGAGCGAGTTGCCCGT